AGAAATAATACCACCTCCTGATTGACTAAACACATTCAGTTATCAATTCAGTGATCATGACTGAACACATTCAACGTCAATTCTATTAAACTAAAAACATTCAGTAGCTAGAAAAAATTCAGTGATCAGTGATTGTACACATTCAGTTACCAATTCTATTGAACTGAACAAATAGATCTTGTAGTTGCTATCCCAAAATATATTAGCACTATCAGTAACTGAAAATAGTATCACAGTACATACCTAATTACATACTTTCAAAAAAAAAACAAGCAGCAACACATGTAAACATATGAATTGGAAAATTAGCAAATATTTTTGGAATTATCATGCAGGATCCCAACTAGATTGATGCCCAAACGGAGGGGAACTTGGACCGATGGAGCCACCACATCTGCTAAGTGAAGAGCCAACTGCGGCAAATCCGACTAGGAAACCTCGTCTGCCATGGATAGGTGAAGAATCGAAGCCGTCTACCATGGATCGAGGATGAATTGAACTTGCAGAGGGGTTGGGTGCTGGGGACGAGCTGCTTCCGCAACCAACGAATGCCGCTGTCGTGCTGTTACTGTAGCGACGCGGGGGGTTTTCCGCAAAATTCATAGCTCGGAGACGACGGCCAGCACGCCGTTGTACGTGCCCTTATTGAATTATTGTCAGTTGTCCAGGCATGTAGCTTTACTCGATTTGATGTCTCTTATTCTGCTATTCACCTTGTTACTTGTGTTATTATTTGGTCTTTATAGTTATTGTATAAAATGCCCTATAAGGTACGATTAATCGACTTAGGTCGATCATTTTTATTGTAGTAATATGATAAAAATAATCTCTTGTGATCAAACACCCTAAATTATGGAATCAATTATAATAATAATCTTATAATACGTTCAACCAACAATAATCTACCACATACAAAATTCAAGGTTCCAAACAAATCACATTATTACAGTCTAGACCGTATTACTACAATCCTAATTCACAATCTAGATATTAATAATCCAAAGTTATCCAAGCAAGCGGCTTAGACGTGGCTTCTAAAAGTAAATTTTACCTTTAATAGTTTCTAGTAGGCTTTAATCACCATTGATAAGAGTAGTAATTGGATCTATTCTGTTTTTCTTAAAAAATACTCACGCCTATTATTATGAAAAAAAACATTAAGTAACTGCTATATTTGCGTCTAAATTACCAAACTTTATCTTTATGAAACATAATACAATGTAACTCCATGAATTTGCATCTAAATTACTCAACTTAATTATTATTGAATTAAACTAAAATACACCCTCCATGATAATCCTGACTAAAGAGAAAAGATATATAAAATTCTCACAAAAATAAAAAGATATTATCATCAATTTTGATCTATTTTATTTCTTAAATTTGAGACTCTTTATCTTGATTGATAAAAACTATTCACCCTTTTATTATGAAAACTAATACAAAGTAACCTCCTATAAATCTACATTTGGATTATCGACATCGTTACAACATATAATCCAATGATAATGCTTCCACGCGGGCGCCGCGCGCCATACTCTGCCTCGCCGCTTCCATCCGCGCTGCTCGCTCTCGCCGGCGACGATGCCTCGACCGCGACACTTGCTCCCTCCCTCGCTCACCCCGCCTATCGCGCGTGGCCCGCCCGCAGTGGCCATCCCTCGCCGCGACCCCATCCTGCGCGCGCTACCTCTACTCTCCCCATCTCTCGCTCTCTATCTTGCGTCCGCTGACAGTAGAGCGCCTCCCCGGTTTCTTCATCAAACCCCAACACCGTCGATGGTCGTTGGGCGCATGTGCTAGGGCGCCTCGGGTTGTCCCCGGCCGAGCCAAGGGCACCCACGAGCTCGGCCGGATGCTAGTGGTGCTCGCGCGTCACCGACTCCCACCCCGACAGCCAAAACCGATTGGCCTAGGCCTCCCCTCCCCTATGTTTTAAATATATGTTTTAAGTGTTTCAGACGTTTCAGAGGTATGTTGCAATTGTTTCATATGGATGTTGCAAAAGTAGATCGAAAATGTTGCATATGTTGCAAGTGTTTCAAAGGCATGTTGCAAGCGTTTGTTCAAAATGTTTCATCTGTTCCAAATGTATGTTGCAAGTGTTTTGATCTGGTTGTTGCATATGTTTCACATATGTTGCAACAGTATATTCTAAATGTTTCGTCTGTTTCAGTCTTATGTTGCAGCAAGTATTTTAATGTTGCAAGTTACAAGTGTTTTATCTAGATGTTGCATATGTTTCACACATATGTTGCAAATGTATGTTATAGATGTTTTATAAGACGAATGTTGCATTTAAGTGTTTCATGTTGCACGTGTTTCGTGTTATTCGGAGAGTCAGGGGGCGCGGGGAGTGATGGTGGCACATCACGGGCGCCGGGGAATGGCGCGCGGCGAGCCGAGGGCCGACAGACATGGCGCACGATGCGTTGGGAGCAGGGGTCAAGCGCGATAGGGCGGGGTGCACATGCGGGGCGAGGCAAACAGCCAGGTAGATGGGGGCGCATCGAATTGAGGCGGACGGGGCGGACTGCGCGTGCAAGGCGAGTCGATCGGACGCGCGGGCACAGCGATGGGGGCGGGTGCGCGTGCAGGGCAGGGCGAATTAGCGGACAGGGGTAGGCTGCGTGGGCATCCGTCCGCGGTCAGGACGATAATCCAAAGTAGCCATAGAATTTTACATTCAAATTGCACGTGCTATCATTACGATACATAATCTAAGTAAGCTATTGATTTTCATCTAAATTAGTCACTTCTACCATTATTATACTTAGACTTAAAAAATACCCAATCATCCCGCCGGTGAGTATTTTAGTTTAGTTCTAATAGTGGTAAGGAACATGATGATTATAATAAACTTTTCTACAGCATAAAAAAAGGAACAAAACCATGTTCCCTGCCCGTCCTTTTACAGGTCGTCAGGATTCCATCGCGGAGGCCGGAGAGCCAGGGATCAAAAGCGTGCCGTTCTCACATCCCGATTCCCGCCTCGCCGTCAGTCTTCGCCGTGCGTTCCAGTCGACGTCGCGCCTCGCCGGCCGCCGCCGCCGCCGCGATGACTCACACGTCCATCCGTCCCATGCATGGGTCGTTAGCCCATCTGCAGCTATATCATCAGTATATTCAGCCGCACGACCGAAAATTGGGCCCGTTCGCCGCGATCATCACTCGCACGTGTCCAGACGATTGGCTGTTCACCCATCTGCAAGCGATTAGTTGCACGTCCGGCCGTCTGCAGCCACCGGCGTGAGATCGATCTGCTGCCCCAGACTACGTAATCCTTCTCATTATTCCTACCTTATGAATCGTGTTGATAGACTAGTCAGTGTACCCTATTACACTTGGATCACGATCACAGAACAATATTTACAATCATGTGTCCAGCTATACTAATTTTCTAAAACAAAGTTCAAAAATTATTAGGCTAGAAGAAATGGAAAGGATCGTAATGCGAGTCTTGGACAGATGGAGCAACCCCCTCGCCCAGGTGCATCATTGTCATCTCGGCCAAGCCTTGCTCTCCAACACGCTGAAAAAAGAACCCAGCAGACCAGAGGCCCTCTTATAATAAATGAATAATGGAGCTCCTTGTCGTTCGAACTTCCAAGCAACATAGATGGGGTTTTCGCCTTTTTTTTACCACCCTGAATTTCGCAAAACTTGTACGCAAAACCTCGCGTGTTAATACATGGTTCAGGCTAGCAACTTGCCCGCTATAGTTTTCTTTTAAAAGAAGTGAAGAAAGGCACTACTACTAGTTAAAGAATTTAATTTGCTTTGTAACACTAGCAAATTTTGGGGGAAAGAGGGGACTAGGATTCGCTTGTAAGTCACACTTGTTTAACACGTGATTTCTCCAGTGGTTCGTTGTAATTTCACCTCCGAACAGTATGATTGGGATAGATAGTATTTGACGTACACAATCGAATTGAACGTTGAATCGTTAATGAATCATTGGGGGATAATTTAGTATATCTTTTTGCGAAAGCCACGAACAGAACTGTCTTTTGCACTGAAGAAACCTGTGACGGCTCTGATAGCCTGTGTGACGTACGGCTGCGTTCGGCTGGTACTTAAAAAAAGTACTGTGCACGGCTGAATACACTGTTTATGGATGATTCCTCCGGATTCATCCAGATTCGTTCAAATTTCTCCAAACGAACGGGAGCCGTAGAGTAGGCTGCATCAGACAACGATGTTTGGTCACATTTTTTTTCCTTCATTCAGAAGACACGAACGACTAACCAAACCACGTTCTATTCGCTTGGCTTATAAGTCGTACTTTTTCAATCAATGAATAGTATTTTTCTCTCACAATAAATCAGTCAACAGTACTTTTAGCCATGGCTTATCAGCCAAGTGAACAGAGCACATGATCCATCGTTCGAATGACTGATACTGTCAATATGCATCGCTCTGCTCGTTTGGGCTGGTTTGGCTTATAAGCCATGGCTGAAAGTATTGTTGACTGATTTGGTGTGAGAAAAAAATATTATTCGTTGGCTGATAAGCGCGAACAGACTGAAGAATGTTGTAACCTATCTTTGCCCCAGATGTGCTAGAACATGTCGATTCCATGTTTCTACTGTTGCTAGGCTGAGACTAAGAGCGATACACACAGCAGTAACTACTTATTAAATATACTATTAGCCGCCCTTCTTTGGATCGCAATCATGCGAAACCCCTAATTACATACTACTACTACATTTCCTTTGCCTTTCTTTCTTTTCTTTGGGGGTTACTACTTACTACATATAAACCTAGCTATAGAGTTCGTCTTGCGGAACTATGTACAACAGTTTCGGCAAGAACGAACACGGTTTCTACTACTAGTATATAAGGTAAAAAAAAACAATAGCCGAACACTGAAGGAAGCTCATGGCAGCGCTGCGCCCTCGCCCTTGAGACTGTCGACCATCGCCACTTCCATCTCTTCTCATCTGAACTACGAGGACGCCTTGGACCTCTGAAACCTCGTCATCACACTCAGACACCGCCTAGACAGACGACCTCCAGATCCGTCCCTGGAACGAGATGACGATGACGGAGACGTCGTGGTGGTAGTGCCTCCTCGCGCCGCGCGGGATCTCCAGCAGCTGGCGCGTCTCCATGCCTGCAACGCAACCCAAAGAGAAGGAGTTCGTCAAGAGACCCGTCTGATCATGCTGGGGTCCATGCGTGTGCCGCGCGTGCTCGTGGACGGTTGGGTTACTCACCGGCCTTCCTCGCGGCGCGGTGCACGAGCTCCCCGACGAGGTGCTGCGCGGGGTCGCCGTCGGGCTCCGCGGCGGTGAACGCCTCCACCTGGTCCACCACCTCCTTGTTGGTGAAGTACTGGTACAGCCCGTCGGAGGACAGCGCCAGGAACTTGTCCTGCGAGCCGACGATGCGGTGGTGGCACCGCGACGGCGCGCAGGTCACGTACGGGTCCGTGCCGACGTAGTTGATCCTGAAGGCTTCCAGAAGCCTGCTGTTCGACTTGGGTTGGGCTGCCAGAGAGGGGGGGGATTAACGAACATCGACAGAATCGTCAGGTTTGCAGATTGACATTTGAGCGAATTTTGACGCTTTGGGATCATGAGACCGCACAATGCGCAGAGCATGTCAGCTACTCCTACAGTCCTACTCCACCAAACCACTGTTGGACGGCCACTAATCAGCCATGATTTGGAGCGTAGGGCCTACAACTATATGATTGGTTACTCGCAGTCACAGTTCTAGTCCTAGACTGTGACAGCACAATGCACAGAGCATGTTCAGAAGAACTGCACATCTTAAACGCTAATTATGCAGAACAAACTGCAGAAGCCTGACCGACAACAGAAATTACGTACTTGAGCATGCGCGCTGAAAACGAAATACTAGAACCGAAGTTACCTGCTTCAGGTAGGCGACCCCAAACGCTCTGGTGACGTTGATCTTCCCCTTGACCCGGCCATTGACTATGGCGTGCCGATCATTCAGATGCTGGCCCTTGATCCTCATCACCTCCTGCATCATCCCAAAATTCCGACAAGAGCGACTCGGTGAACCCAAAAACTCAATCGTGCAACAGTTTTTTCGTCGGTCTTATAATGTGTGCTTCATTCAGTACAGTTTTTCCGGTTCATGAGCAGTTGTGTCTCGTAGTCAAAACTCAAAAGTTCTTTTTTTACGGATGAGATGAGATGGTGACAAGAATATACGAGGATGAATTCTTGTTCCGAAATCAGTCATAATTGAAGTTCTGGATAGGAGAGGAGAGGAGCAGAGGAGGGAAAGATGGCGTACCTCCTGGACCGCGGTGCTGTGCTCTGCGGTGAGCTGCACGGCCTGCAGGCCGTCTATGTCGTGCGCCTGCAGCTCGCGCATGATCTCGGCCTTGAACTGCTGCAGGTCCTGCGACGCCTTGCCGAGGACGTTCTTCAGGTCGGGCTCCGGCCTCCGCGCCAGCACGGCGCGGCTGTCCCCGACGTTCATCACGTAAATGTCCTTGCCCTTCATCACCATGACGAGCACACAGGAGCCCATCAGCCCCAGCTCCGGGCTATCGGCCGCGCGTTCCTCCGCCGCCGCGAAGAATTCCTCCTCCGTCTTCTTCAGTGCCCGCGCCAGCGCCCTCAGGACGTCGCGGTGCACTGGCGTCGTGGCGTTGTTGCCTGGCATGGGCACTTCCGTTCGCCTGCGCTAAGCCTCCGCGCTGTCGCCGTCGGCCCCAGCATGACAGAGGCGTCCGGCATTGCCTGCAGCCGCTTCTTGCTGACCGCACCTGGCGCCGTCGCCTGTTTGGATGTCGTCCCAGAGCACGCCTTTGAGCTCGTTGTGGACGGCGATGTAGCGGTTGGCGAAGAGGTAATCGGTCGCGTCGGGCCCATTGAAACCGTCGTAGATTCCGACGAACACCCAACCGTGCTCCTCGGACACCGCGATGTGGAACCGGTCCTCGCCGGCCATGCCCTGAGCCCACTCCACATTGTCGTTCGGCGGTGAGCGGTAGTCCCCATCGCTGAAGGAGACCTTTATCGGCTCAGCAGGATGTTCCTGTGGCCCACGGCCATAGTGCGGCGACCCGAGCTGGAGTTTGGAGGCGGTCCTCACGAAAAACCGTAGCAGGGATCGCTCGTCACGGAGACGGGAGCGCGCGGCACGGCGCTCAGCGATGAGCTGAGAAACGCTCGGTTGGACCCCCACGGCCACGGACGAGGAGGCGGCCGAGGATTGGTCAAGTGGACCCGACATGAATGGTGAGTCTGTGGTGGTGGACGCCGAGCCTGATGTCTCGGAGAACCGGCCAGACGTGAACTGGACCGGCCCTGACATGGAGAGCCGAGGTGGCGCCGCCTGGAGTGGAACGGCGGTCAAGGACTGTGAGCTCTCGAACATGCACGCGATCGACAGCGGCCACGTCATTCCATTATAAAGACGGAACGAAGGCATGGACGCCGACGTCACTTGATTGGCGCTGATGGCGGCGCCAGACAGAGAGAAGAACGACGACTCCGACGACATCGCGGCAGCCGTCGTGGGCTGGTCGAAGGCGGCGCCCGATGGCACGTAGGTGAAGGAGTGACCCTGGCTGTCGTCAGGGAAAGGGTCCGACACGATGGCGGCGGCGTACGGGTCGCCGGAGAAGCATGGGTTCTTGGTGATGCCATTGCCCATTTTGTTTTCTTGGGCTTTGGATTTTGGGGATGGGTGGAGTTAAAGATTTCCAAACGGGCCGGTTGAAACGGGTTGGCACGAGCCCGGTGCGAAAAAGCCCGGCCCTAGCTCGCCACAGCCGTGCCCGTGCCTAGCCCGGCCCTGTACCGTGCCCGTGCCTGGGCCGAGGAGTCGGCCCGTAGTGCCGGCCCGGGCACGGCCCGTTACAACGGGCGGCACGGCTCAGGCATGGAGGGGCGCCGGCGGGGCTGCGGGCCTGCGGTACATAAGCCACCCGCCGCGGCTGCCCCCCCAGTCCCGCACCATCCAAACCCTAGCTCATTTCGCCTGCTCTCGTCTCCCTCGCGCCGCTCTCGTTTCGCTCGTCGCTCTCGCCCGCTGTCGTCTCGCTCCTCACTCTCACCCGTTCGCCTGATCCTCGCCTCGTTCCCCTGCTCCGCCGTGTCCATGGCGTTCTCCGGTGGGTAAGGGGTCAGATCCGGTGGGTTCCGTCCTCAATCTCCCTGCTTTCCCTCTCTGCCCTCAATCTCCCTCTTCTCTCTCAGATCTGGTGGTTCCCTCCTTCAATCTCCATCTGTTCCCTTGTTCTTCATCCATGAAAGTCGATTGGGACTCGTTATTAGCATCCTCGACGCATCTCCGTCTTCTGTCCGTCGTTCTCATCGCCGGCCGCCGCCACCTCCGGGGCTCCGGTCTCTGTTGAGGTACCGGGGGTGTGCATCCGGTCCATCTCATCGTCGTTTCCGGCGCTCCGGCTCTAGAGGTAAGGGCCCCTACCCTAACCCTAATCCCCTACCCTAACCCCCTACCCTAACCCTAATCCCCTACCCTACCTGTCTTTTCTGTTGTTGATTGATGCAGCCGTCGAGGAACCGGAGACGACAAAGATGGCCCCAAGCGTAGGCGACGTCGATGAAGGGGAGTTTGATCACTCCTAGAACGACAAGCTGCGGATGTGCGGGTTAGTCGGGGATGATGAGGAGGACGATGTCCGCGAGGACTGTGCCGAGCTATTTGGGCGGTCTGCTGCTGATCCCCTTCCCTGTGACCAAGATGCGGTCCCGGTCCACGGGGAAGGGGCCGATCCCAATGCCGACGGTGGCGACAGTGAGGTGTCGGGCTCCAATCGGCCTTCTACCTCTACTGTCTGGGATGATTTTGAGAAGCACTTCAAGAAGGTGTCAGGTAAGGCGAGACCCGTCAGGTATGCTGCCACTTGCAAACATTGCAAGAAACAATACTCTGCTTATTCTGCTAATGGCATTGGACATCTTACTCGACATCTTAAGGTTTGTGTTAAGCGTCGTGAGAAATGTCGCATGTCTCAAACTCAAATTGGTTTTAATCCTGATGGTTCTGTTCGTCGCTGGGAGTACAATGCCGATGTAGCTCGTGTTGAGCTTGTTCGTATGCTTGCTAGGCTAGATTTACCTTTACTGATTGGTGAAACTGATGCCTTTAAAGATTACATTAAAACTGCTCATAACCCTGCCTTTGCACCTGTCTCTAAGCAAACTACTGCTAGAGATCTGTTTAAGCACTTCAATGGTAAACGTGAAAAATTAATGACTTGTTTGCAAGACAATGTTGTTTCATCTGTTGCTGTTACCTCTGATATTTGGTCTGGAAAGACCAAAGAAGATTATCTGTCTGTTGTGGCTCATTTCATTAATGCTGATTGGCAATTAGAGAAAATGGTGCTTTGTTTAAGGTTGATTGATGTCTCCCATAATGCTGAAAACATTACTGAGCATGTTAAAATTGTCCTTGCTGAGTATGGTATACTTAACAAGGTTTTTTTCCGTGACTTTGGATAATGCATCTGGGAATAAAAATGCAATGGATAAACTGAAACCTATACTTAAAGAGTGTTTAGGTGCTGATCTGTTTTTGCATCAACGATGTGCTTGTCATATTATTAACCTGATTGTTAAGGAAGCATTGGCTGCTGTTAATCCTCTCATTGACAACTTTAGAACTACAATCTCTTTTTTGAACTCCTCTAATCAAAGAATTGCTGCATACAAGAGTTATTGCATTGCTAGCAGTGTTAGACCTAGGAAGTTCTCACTGGACATGGATGTTAGGTGGAACTCCACCTACCTTATGCTGAAAATATTGTTACCTCACAGGAGTACTTTCAGTACTTTCATTGAGGCTAATTACCCTAGACCTGCAGGTAGTCCTTTCCTGTTGATTGATGATCACTGGGATATGGCAACTAAGATGTTGTAATTTCTTGAACTGTTTTATGACTCTACTGTTGCTTTATCTGGTGTGTACTATCCTACTTCTTCACTTATGATTCATCATATTGTTAAGATTGCTGTTCACCTACATAAATATCAACATGATGAACATCTGAGATCTGTTGTGCAGTCTATGATTGACAAATATAATAAGTACTGAAAAAACATACCTGATCTTCATTCCATTGCATTCATACTGGATCAAAGAGCTAAGATTAAGGGCTTTACCAAAGTGCTTAGAAAGTTGAATTCTCTTTTTAATGTTGATTACACTAATAAGTTGCTGAACACCAGAGCTCTTCTTTTTAGAATGTACAACAGATATGATGCAATGTATGGCTCTGTTAGGCTCAAAAGGGCTGTTCCTGCATCCCTTTCTGGTAAAAAAAAAACAGCTTGGGCTGACATTTATGATGATGATGAGCTTGACATTGGAGCTGGTTGTTCTTCCCTCCCTCCTAATCTTGATCAGTCTAGGGGTGTTTCTGCCACTTCTTTGCTACAGGCAGCTTCTGCTTCTAACTCTAGTGAGCTTGCATCCTACCTGGACTCTGACACAGTCAGCCAGTTAGATGATGATTTTGACCTCATGCAATGATGGCATGAGCACAAGCTTACTTATCCTGTGCTTTCTATTCTTGCAAAAGATATTTTTACTGTGCCTGTGTCAACCATTTCTTCATAATCTACCTTTAGCACTACTGGCAGGATCATCGAGGAGCATCGCTGGAGGCTGAACCCTAAGACTGTGGAGGCACTAACCTGCATCAAGGACTAGGAGAATGCTGAATCAAGACTGCAGCACATGGTGGAGGATAAGGGGCTAGAAGAGGCCTTTGAAGCACTTTATCTTGATGTTGATTAAGTTCCCCATTTATGTAATGGTTCTGTAATAGCTATTAAGACTTGGACATGCTGGAGGCCGGATGTAATGAACTTATGAACAATCTTAGGAGCTGGCTGTACTCTTTTCCTGTTTAGGGTTTCTCACAAGGGTGAGTTTTACCTAAACAGGTTTTTAATGAGGCATCCATTGCACAGCTCCTACTATAATTAGTTTTAGTTTCAAAACTTGCCTATTTTCTTTGCTGTTCTTTGCTCTTTGCTGTTTTTTGCTGGCATTGTCTGATGTTTTTGATGAGTTAGAAGTTATCTCTGTGAACTTATGATTTGAATGAATGTTTTTGTAATTTCAGTGCCAGGGCTGGCACGGGGCACGCTGGGCTGCCGTGCTGGCACGACACGCCAGGCACGGTCCAGCAAGTTTAGTGCCGTGCCTGGGCCTGAACTCCAGCACGGTGGCACGGCACGGCACACCTCATTAACCGTGCCTGCCGTGCTGTGCCCAGGTAGGCCGTGCCCAGGCGGGCTAGGGCCGTGTAGTGCCGTGCCGGCACGTTTGGAAATCTTTAGGTGGAGTGGAGGGTAGGGGAGAAGATGATTTATTTATGCGAGTTGACTATAGTTGGAGTCGAGTGATGTGATGAGGGGCAGGCCCACCTTCGAGTGAATGGTGGCGCTCTTGCTTGGGGTACCCAAAGCTAAAACACCATGGTTTCTCTAAGTGCTCTTACCAATTCTCATGGAAGGGCTTAATGCTAATGCAGGCAATGAGGCTTTGGTTCCAACAACACTATCTAATTCTCATGGAAGGGCTTGTAGGCTACCGAAGGCGTTGAGGCTTCAGTTCCCACAACACTATCCAATTCTTGTGGACTGGCTTTCTAAGGCACTGAAGGCTCTAGGATGAATCAAAGAGGCTTCGGTTCTCGCCTTATATAGGCCCAAGCCGAGGGGGAGGGTGAAGAGCGGCGAAGCAACGAGCACACTCAACAAATCTATGCGGTTGGATTCATTGAGAAAATTAATGATTGCATATCTTGAAGATACGCTGATGATCGGTGCACGCATGTCTAGGCGCCAACTGCAGACATGCCGGTTTAACTTTTAGGAACTTATAGTACACAACAGAGTGGGATGGTAAATAGGTTACAAGTTGAGCGGTGTGTATTCTCTTGCATGGTTAACGTGAGATATGAAATTACACTATAATTTTATAGGTGTCATCTTTATATAGTATAGTATAGCTTAATATGTTACATACATTGCATAGAATTTACAACGAGCAATGTATCGACCTATGTGTTAGAGTTAGTTGCACCAATATTAGTAAGGTTATGTACAACACATCCCTTAATACAACATCATGCTTGATATGTGGAGTATCCCTTTTTGTCTTAGCAAATGAGGTGCCGTCTTGCGCTCTAATACTAACAACTAACCCACATTTTTATGTCAAGGCATTATTACTTTTGTTAAAAAATTAGCAATTGGTGAGAGCAAGGGTTTTACACTCTAATAACATCAAGTAACAAGTTTTCTATAATTAACATTTACCACTAATATGGCTATCGTTAAGATGAGGGGGGTACATTTGCGTGACTTTTACCTAAACTTTCTATGCATGTAGCCATAGCTTGAAGTACTACCATTTAGGTTTATTATTTAGGTCTCAAACATCTAGAATTTCTATCATTCGATTTTAATCTTTATTTCTAAACCCCACTAACAACCCAAAACTAGAGCTGGGTTCAATCTAAGCAATTCTTATTGGGCTCATACTTGGTGTAAAATATGTTTATCTGTTCTTGTTAGTGTTATGTTACCGACTTGAACCCGGTTTGAACTTTCACGATTTTCACTACCATAGATTCTCATTTTGTTAATACATGTGAATAACATATAATTCAC